CCCCCCCCCCCCCCTCACAGTGTATGACCTCTGAATACCCATATCGAGTCACTGTCAATGCAGTACATAACATCACCTGCTGGACACACACGCACACACCGAATCTGTTTGTATGGCTGCTCGTTTGTTCTATTATTTATTTATAAGTTCTCAGCTCTTACTATAAAGCCCAGCCTGTGAAGTGCAGCCTCTAGCCTGCAGGAGCCGCTTGGTAATGAGCAATGCAGCAGAGAACAATGGTGCAGATCGGCAACTTTAATGTGGTTTTAAGATTGCTGCAATGAAGGATTTTTCCTGCCTTGTGTTCCTCTTTAAAAGTGTTTACCACAGAGGGTTTGCAGAGACAGCAGGTTTCTGCCTGTGATTTTTACTTGATGGGTTCTGCTTTCTGTGCACCTTACTGAGCCTGTTACTTTCAGAATAGGAATGAAGCAGAATTTACAATGTTTTTTGGCAATTAACACTTACTGACCATCCCCCACCACCACTATTATGCACAGACTTCAACCTCATATCTTTTCTTCCACAGTACCTCATACATAATACTGTCAGTTACTGTGCATACTGGGAAAATTATAGTAGAAAAAACTTTTTGATTGCAAGTTTTTCCTAGATTTGACATATGCATCATGATTTATGAAACTTTATTCTATAAAATGAAGTGACTGCTGTGACATATACTATTGAAAGAACTCAATCCACAAATTGGAGGCCATCTATTGTAAACATTGGTTCAATTGTTTTATGTGTAATTGTTTTATTACTATTTAAGATATTTATAATTATAAAATTATCTCATGAAGGTGTTATTGCTAGTGTTAATTAAGACCACATTTCCCAATATAATTTATTTGTACATGTTGTCACTCTCTGTACTTAATATAGTCATAGTCATATAAAATACGTTTTTGCTTTGTAAAGCAGGTAGAGGCTATAACAAATTGAATATAATTTTTTTTTATCTGAATGTTTCAGGCCAAACACATGGGAGAGTTCTTCACATCAGGCCCAGATAAGATGATCCACAACCAGAATGTGAACATCCCACCAGCCACACACCTCATCGGAGATCTGGAGCCCCACAGACTCTATGCTGTCAGGGTGGCATGTCACAGCAGCCAGGGGCCCTCTGACTGGTCGCCCTGGGTGGAGCTACGCACCAAAGAAGGAGGTGAGCCTTCCAAATGAGGAGATGTTTGTTTTCACCCTGGATGGCTCGTGTGTGTGTGTGTGTGTGTGTGTGTGTGTGGGGGATCACCTCCTCTGAAGTGAGTCAAGGTCAAGGCTCTGTTATCTGGCTACCGGTTAAGGTCTAAAGCCAAGTCTCCTCCCACTCCTGCTGTATACTAACCTACTAGATACATGCTATACAGCAGCTAGCAGGCACAATTGAGATGTTTTTTGCATGTTTTGGTCTAAACCAAGGATCATTTTATTGAACTATGAAGTAATACATTTGCATTGCACATTTGCACATACATTATTAGTGCCATTAGAATTTAGCTGTATTTTGTACTGCTAAAAATACCAGGCCTTACTGATTAGGATTTAGCAAGGCACAAGTCCTAGTCAAGGCTTCACAGGCAAATTGCAACTCTTTCAACTGCTTGAATGCTGCCAGCTGTGATTAATAGCATTTAAAAACTTGTCTTGTCAAAGCTGAGTTAGTGTTTTTTGCATAGCTAAGACCACTCATTGTGAAGGCCTAATCATTAACTGTAAAGATTAAGGCTTTGTGAGGCCTGCCTGTTGCCTTCTTCTTCTTTTTTTTATTGTTTCTGGATTTCAAAGTTGTGACAGACGTCAAACTACAGTCTCAAGTCTACAGGTTGGATGTTAACTGTATAATTTTTTTTCGAGGTAGTAGTTAATGGCTATGGGTTTTTTGCATTTCGGTCTTAAACTGCAGCTGATTTCTAACGTGCCTCGAATTGAAGCTGTCATAGTTTCCGAAAAGTTACCTACGGTTGAAGAGATGAATGACAGAAGATGAAATGCCTAAAGGAAAAGTCTTAATTATCAGGGACACTAATTGTTTCTTGAAAAGCGTTTTTCTGAGCTTATTTTGAGGTGAATTGAATTTGCTGCAAGATTAATTCTGTCAACTGCTTTTCAGCTTGATTCTGTGAGTCAAAACTTACTTGGATAACGCTGTATGATAACAAGGAGTCAGCAAATCAAGTTACAGTGCTCTGTTAGTCATAATATTCCTTCCTGTGCCCCTTCAACTTAGTCTGTGTTTATGAAGAATACCAGACACGAGGCACTGTACCTCTACGACCCCAGTTTCAAATGTAAACTCTTGAGGTAGAAAACTGACTGGTATTGAAGGGATAGAGTAGGTGGAGACAGAGAAAGGGAGGGAGTGTGGACGTTAAATTCTCCTGAAAGGCTTCAGTTAGGATTGCCGCACTCGGTCCAAACTGTAATGCTAGGCTGCTGTGTGTTTGAGTTTAAACTGAGGTGGGATTTTCCATGCCAGCTCATGCTGTCTCTATCCCTGGATAAATAGGAGTGGAAACAGCGTATACTAAGAGGAGAGATATGCAACAGGAGAGATGATGGGGGCTTTCCATGGAAGCTACTTATGATCTGAAAACACTTCAACAAAACAATTCTCAAAAATAGAAAAAGGGAGAAGTAGCACTCCTTGAAATGCCACTGTAATGGAGAAGGACAAAAAGTGGTTTTGAGATACAGGAGTCAGGATTTTCAAGTTTCAGTTCCCTGTTACAGCAAAGTCATATCAATCTTTGTTTTGTTTCAGTGTAAGAAAAACTGTTTTATTTGCCTTTGGGAAATATTGTTTCATTTCCAGCTCTGGCAGCTCTCTCTGCACTTGTCCTAATGAGTCAGAGGATGAAAAAGAAACAGAAGATAAGATTCAGCTGGTGGTCAAAGATAGTTCAGGAGGCACTGGAGGTCAAAGGGAGTGAGAGAATGAAGGGGAGAGGCACACTGCTCACAGCTCAGCCATTTTTTACACTAAACTCCCATGAGGCTCTATTGTTGAGCCTGAAATCTTCCTTTCTGGAGTTTCTTTCTGCTCCATTCGTTTCTCATTAATAAATTGTCCAGATATGTGTTGCACTATCTCCTACATGTGTCATCCTGGCACAGACATCCCCATTTGCTGCTTCCTCCTTTATTCTGAAGTTTTTTTCACTTCATTACAGACTCTTCTTCTGCCAGCTCTTTTTTGTTCTCATATCCATGCTTCACTCAAGTAGACTGGGCTACCTCATTTTGTTGCATTAGTCGTTTCCTATCTCAGATCCTACAAACCAAGGAATTTGTTTCCTGAATCAAACAAGCCGAACAAGTTTTTTTTTCTGAATACAGTCTTTCAACTTCATCACTTCTTCGTCTCTCATTTCCCTCCTTTTTTGACCTCAGATGACCTGTGATTTCTCTTTCTAGAGCACACAGCAAGGCACTGTGGGAAAAACAGAAAAAAGAGGTTAATGGTGGGAGTAGGCAAGGAATGGATAGAAGAGCAGGGAAACTAGGGAAGGGGGCGCTTTGAGAAAACATTCATTTTGCTATTTTCCCAAAGCCCACTATTTTCCCCTGAGGATGAGAAAACAGAAAGGGCGGGGGGCTGGTCGGTGGGAGAGGAAGCGAGACGACCCATGTAACCCTAATCCCAAATCTGCAATGAGATTATGTTTTACATATATATTTTGTAAACACATTTTTTCTTCCTAAATGACTCCAGAAATGCATCTCTCCAAAAAACAAACAATCTATGAACAAAACGGGGTGTGGTAACACTTGACAAGTATTACTGTGTACTTGCACAACTTTCCACCAAGTTTGTTACACTAAAAAGGCCACTGTGGGAATCCTGATTCTGATTCTGATTCTTTTCTGTTACTTACGGGACATCCAAACTCACCATCCTTATGAAGTGAGTCACATATGTCACATATGCCACATTTAATGCTGTTTAATACCACTGCCAGCAAAAATGCAACTACAAGCATTAAAAGAACCGCATTCACTACAGACAGACAACCGCCATAAAAACAGAAACAACGTGGATGTCTTTAACACAAACGTTTGTGCTCCGACTGATCTGGGAAACATGTTTCCAGTGTAGTGCTGAGTTTGTTTTCATTTATGGAGAACAGATCCCAGGGTTATGAGTCAATTTGGCATAAAGATTACCCTTTTCCATCCGTGTGTTGACCCACACAGAGTCTAACTAGAATGAGAGTGTACGGAAAGAGAATCAGAGGGCCAGCCCTGCCTCCAAACAGTGTTTAAAAGCCTCCAAGCATAGTTATGCGACACTGCTTCTTCAATAGCAGCAGCACGTAACAGGATGTGAAACAGTAGTCTGCCATGGATACAGATGTTAACCTCTGCTGTGAACTAATTGTGGCTCAAAAGTGTTTGTTTCTCAGTCTCTTGCCAAGCTCGGGCTGCGTTCATGTGAAAGAACAACATGAGGAATTTTTTCTCTGTATTTTCTGCATTTCACAAAACGGCACTACCACACATCTAGTTTTTTGTATTTCCTTTTTCAACTTCCCAAATCTTGCAAGTTTTTTTCTTCTCCCAAAAGTTTTACATCAATGGTTAACATCTCTGTTCTCTTGAACTCATAACTCCATGACATAAAACTGAGAGAAATGACCACAGAGAGGGCAGCGAGGGAGAAGAAAAGTTGGAAAGAAGGAGATGGAATCATGGTGAATGGAAGACAGGCAGAGGGAATGAGATGAAGAGGGGAGAAGAAAGAGAGAAAGAGTGCAAGTAGGCAAACAAAGAAGTGAAAAAGAGAGAAAGAGATCGAGATTGACGAATCATAGGTGGAGACGAACTGCTGGAACAAAATTGACTTGGAGGTTGTTTTTGTTGCCGCTGGCAGGCAGAACGGGGACTGCATGTGGAAACAATCACCCGCCAAATGCTTCCTGATAACATCATCCATAGGCTGGGCCATGTTTCCCAAACTCACACTGACTTAGTATGTGTGTGTGGGTGTGTATTAGTGTGGGCATGTGTGGGTGTCCACAGCTAGTTTGTGTGACTTTGTAAGCCTGCAGAGGAGAGTGAGAAGCAAAGACAAAGAGAGCCTTAACCAAACGGCAACAAAGGAAATCAGCACTGTCGTCTCCTTTCGAAAAGGTTCTTGGATTACTTTGCTATACGGAGCATCAATCACACACAAACACACACATACACAAATTCCTCACACTATTTCTAGCATGTTATTCAGCTAGGTTTTCTCTCCACTGGGTATTTCTGCTGCCAGCAGCCTTTTTTTCTGCTCCACTCTAGAGAGCCAGAAAAGAAAAAGGCAGGGCGAAAGAATAAAGCCAAAATTGGGATATACAGAAGAGGAGGGAAAGCATGACAGAGGGAGACACAGGCCTCAGCATGTGTCCATCTGAGTTCGTCCAATCATGCTGAGAAAGAGAGAGCACTGGCTCCTGAACTCAGTTAATTGCCCCTGTCTGTGGTGCCCTTAGCTAGCCTTTTTTGTCCTAATAAAGCAGAATTCTTCACATTCTCTGACATCTTCTCCTTCCAGCTGGTGTAGTTATCCACACCTTAGAAGCTCCAGGCTGTCAAAACAACACATGCCTGGATAACCCCCAGCCCACTGGCCTCTTGCCACCGGGCCCACAATCATACCACGGCCGAGTCCTCATTCATACCCAAAATCTTTTGAAAAGTACAGCGCCACACTCTGAGCTACATGTCTACCTAACCTTACAACAACCCCACCAGTAAAAAAACATGTAACTGTGTGAGAAGTGAAATGACAATCAAGGTCTGTTGTGTTTTGTCTTTCAGTGCCAGACAACTCACCTGTTAATGTGACCGCGATGCTAAATGGGACAGAGGTGCTAATGACGTGGGAAGGGCCTCCGGGAAAGCTGAATGGAGAGCTACAGGGCTACATGGTGGAGTACAGCACGCCTGCCACACAGCAGGTCAGTCTGGGACACACACATCCTGACCTTGTTTCATTAGACAGGTATAAAGAAAATATTAAATCTGCTTGTTACTGACCGTCTCCCTCTTTTTCTTTGTTGACAGTTTGTTGTGGACACTGGATTGGACACTGAACTGTCAATCAATCTGTCTGTCCCCCTGTCCAATGTGTCTTATCGAGTGTGTGCCTATACAGGGGCGGGGCAAGGACCCTGGACCCCCACACAGACTCTGACACTTATTGCTCCTGGTGAGTAACAAAAAGTGTCAAAAATGAACATGAATGATTGTTAATTATTATATAAGATTTTTTTGGAAAGCTGCATCATTTTGTAAACAAAGGTCTTTTTTTAGTTGATAACTTAAGTAGCATTTTATTATGAACAATCATTTTTTAGGTGTCAGATGTTGTGTCATGTACAGTCTGCATGGATAAACATGTTATTTTAGGTTGTACAAAACAAACTATGTTGTTTTTCTCCTGAAAGTCAGAGTATTGACATGAGCTCTGCTTTTTTTTGTTCCCACAGAAATGGTGGGATTTAGAGGTAAGTAATGCTCATATGGAAACCGAGAAATATGTTCTTCTGTAACCTTTCAGAGTGGCACGTAATGACACAGTGGAAGTGAGCTCATGGTGTTTTTTCCACCACAAGACTTCTCTTTCTTATTCTCTGTCACCGGATTTCTCCATGAGCCTGAAAGTGCCTTCCTGTGTATCTCAGAAAAAAGGAAGGAATAGAAAAAAGAGAAGAGAGGATCTCAGAGAGACGGAAAAGGGGAAGAAGGGTAGGGGGTTGGGGGGGTGAATGGGGAGACGCATCATAAATATTTATAACAAGCAGGAACAGTGTGGCATCTCTGTTTGCTTAGTCTAATAGAGCCAGACAATTCAAACAACAAGAATGGCAGACAAAAAGAGGCGAGGAAAGTTTGGGGGGGGGGGAATGGGAGGAAAAGTCAAAAACAGTGGCAATGGAGGTTGTGAGTGAACAGTAGGTTGTGGGGGTAGCTGTGAGTACATTTCAATGTGTGGGATGGGACAGCAAGAAGTGGATAAAGGAGAAAAAAACAAGCATATTTTTAGTAAGAATGTTTAGATTATGCTCGACATAATCAGCGTATATCAGTGCATGAACTTTCCTTACAACCATTGTAAGAAGATAAAGTGAAGGGATTTTTTAAAGATGTAAAACATTTGCATATGGAACAAAGAAAGGCAGTAAGGAGGCTATCTGTGTATAAGTAAATTCATCAATAAATAATAATACAGGTTTAAATCTTTTTATTTTGCCTTCAGCTGATAAAAATACTGTTTTTTTGTCACTTTTTGGGCTCCATAATGCTTTAAAGACCCATATGACTAAACCCTCGTCTGTCTCTGTCCACACCTATCCCTCAGGTCCGTCATCGCCCCCAGCCTTTTCCTGGCACTGGTGGTATGTGGTGATGGCCATTGCCGGGGCTGTGTCCATAGCTGTGCTCATGGCTGTTTACGTGGCCAAGCTGCGGCGCAAGGAGACGCGCTTTGGGTGTGTAGGCTGTTATTGCTCCGCGTGGGTGAAAGGGAGGGGACTCGATAGCGGTGCCAAACCAAAAATCTTCATTTTTTTTCTCAGTTCATTGACCTAGTTGCTTCACTTCTGCATGCATTTTGAAGCATTTGGATAGAACAGCAGACATCTGTTTTAAAAGAGTCATTCCTAAGAATTATGGAGCAATGCCATGTTTTCAGCTGTGTTTACGCAACTGCTGGAGTGACCTCTCATTGTGTTTTGCTCTGTTTTGAGTGATGTGTGTATGCATTCACAGAGAGGCGTTTGAACCCATGATGGAGAGCGGAGAGCTGGTGGTCAGGTACCGCGCTCGCCGCACCTACAGCCGCAGGACTACAGAAGCAACATGTGAGTTCCCCTCTCTGCACATGCGTGTTTACCCAGAAAGATGACACTTTATATTTACACCTGGCTAAACCTGAAGTAGTAAAAGATACATCTCTAAGCATGCCCAAACCTGCCTCTGTCCCCAGGATAGATAGCGATACAAAAGAAATAGCATAATAGCATCTCCTCTGATGCTCGGGCCTGGATCCAGCAGTTCAGTGGAAGGAAATCTTTGACATTAATGACACACTGATAGTCCTATTCTCGTCAGTTCAAGACTAGACTGGTTTGTTTGGTTGATTAAAGGCACGAACACAAACATTTAAGGGTTAATTTTCTTCCTACAGCTGTAAAAACAGCCCTGGAGTGTTCAGTCAGCTGACTCCACAACAACACTGTGCCCCTTATGCTATATATCTTTATCTTTTTATAATCATATCAGTTACACATGCAGTGAATCCATTTAAGTTGAAGTTATGCCCCGTACAATCAGACATGAACGGCAGAGTTACATTTGACTTGACTGCATTTCAGACATTTTACTGACAGAGCAGAGGAAGGAGGCGGGACAGGGAAGGTGAAATCAAGATAACAGCACACTGGAGAGGTTGAAGATTTGGGGATACAATTACATCAGGGAGAAAGTGACATGACGTACCTCTCTTATGAATGAGATTTCAAACTCAAGCAGCTTGTAACAACAGATGAGGGGTTGCTTGACTGCTCTGAGTGGAGTGAAGAGGTCATTTCACCTTTGGGGAGTGTAAAGTGGAGGTTTCGAGTCTCGTCCAGGTGGAGCAACAACATCACTGGTAGAAAACAAAGCAGTCGTTTGCAGAGGTTTGTTTGCTATCACCAGCCAGCAGTCCCTGTGAGTCCCCATGATTACAGACAGAGATGCGTACCTGTAAACACAGCATGCAGACTCAAATTTCACACATCTGGGTCACATTCAAGCTCTGACATTGTCACTGATGTGTGCACAATATTTGTGTAGACCTCAAACACAAGTCTCAGCTTGCCACAGCTACAAAGAGGCCAGGGGAAAGGCAAAACTGTAGGAAAAAAAAGCAACCCCCCCCCCATTTTACTCATTCAGTGAGTAAAATGAGACCAAGAGAAAGAGATGTGGAGATAATGTGTACTGAATGGAAGAAGTGCGTTGGGAATAAAGGAAGGGGTCAGATTGGAGTGATTTGGCCGGGATTTAAGCTGCTGACGTTGACCAGTAATTTTTGCCAATTCTCAGGACAAAGTCAAGCTCTTGGGCTCCTGTTATTGCATGGATGGCTGACTGTCACGCCAGTATGTGTTGGAACATGCCTATGGACTGAGCACATTGTGGTCCGACGCGTGGCAGATTGATAGTGTAGCAGCAGCTGGAGGGGGTTCTCAGAGCATGTTGTTGCGTTGTCATATCCTGGCCCAGATGTGAAAACAGGGCTAATATCTGTAATGCAACATATGCTCGGCACCACACAGCTCAGTGACAGCCAGCTGGCCGGACGGAGTCAGGGATATTTAAACCAGCTTAATTCCTCTGACCTCAACTCCCTACCCCAACCTGGTCCCTTGCAGGATCACGTGGTCATGTGTCCGACACCTGAAAAATTATCTGAGAGGAGAAAGTTGCTCTATGTAATGTAGTTTTGGTTTTTGAATTTGTCTATTTCTGTATAGTTTCTGATTCTATTGTCAGAAGTTTGTCTTCTGGATTTGGTGGTTTTACTTCAGGTTTTATTTGTTTCTTGTTTCTTGTAAGATTTAGTTTCAGTGTAGAAAGACTTTTTGTAACATATGATAAGTGACATTTACTGTAAACTGGATTTTTTGAACACTTTGTACATTAAAAACAATAGATAATTAACAAATTCATGGTAGGCCCACTTCAACTCAATTTATTTTTGTAATAACAAAAAGATGAAGGATGGAACATTTTGTTTTGGTGAGTTTTACAAGTAGAAAGGATGGATTTAGTTCATTTATTGTCTTATTTTCATTGTTATTCAAGCTGGCAGTGTTTATTGACACTTTGTTTTTGGCTCGGTGTTGTGCATTGTGGGTTTTACAATCTGGCTGTTTTTCTCTCTTTTCTGTGTTGTTCATTAAAGCGCTTTGAGCACCAACACCATTAAAATTCCTTATTTTTTCCTCCTTAGTGAACAGCCTGGGCATCAGCGACGAGCTGAAGCAGAAGCTCCAAGATGTGATGGTGGACAGACATAAACTAACCCTGGGAAAGACCCTGGGAGAAGGTAACACTTTGTTTTATTTTTTAACTGTGTCAGTTAATATGTACATTTCAGTAGAGGGAGTGCCTGAAAAACAGCAAGGTGTAAAGGGCATTTGTAAACACTTAGGGTTTATACATAGTACACAGTCAGGGCTTATCCTTCATAGCACCAATGCTTACCTTTCACTTATCTCATTTCCGTCTGACACTAATATTAAACATATTAGTTTAAAAGTCGATAACCTTATAGCCATGTACTCTGTAACGACAGGAGACCAACCACTCTTCACTGTTAATGAAGACCTTCAATGTTCCTACATTTAAAATTGCATCTAAACTGAGTGTTTGATTGTGTTCTGTCTTCAGGGGAGTTTGGCTCTGTGATGGAGGGGCTGCTGACTCAGGAGGAGTCTGTTCTCAAAGTTGCTGTGAAGACTATGAAGAGTGAGTAGACAGCAAAAGTACTCAGCAATCACCACAATGAATCCCTTCATCTTGGGAACACAGGCCATTTGATAGACAAGCCCCCCGGGTCAGAAATTAACAAGTGTCAGGGGCAAAAATCTCAGTGTTTGATCAGAAAACAGACAAAGACGCAGCTTGTAGAAAATATAATATTAAATATAACAAAAAGATGACCCCCACATTAACCGTAGTGCCAAAATAAAGACAATAAAAACTCAAAATTTAAGGGGGGAAAGATGAATTTTTATCGACTTAAAACAGTGCCACCCTTTTATGTGAGATCACTGTAGTGACAAAGTTAAAACAAACAATGTAGTAAAATCTGCTAACATGTATTAATTCATAGTAAATTCAGGAGCCAAAACCCCTGAAATAAAAGTTTATTTTCTTACTCTGGCAACCGCACAACCTGCCAGTATGTGCCAATAGCTGCACAAAACCACATGGTCTCACCTCTGTACCGTCTCCTCTCCAGTTGCCATCTGTACCCGCTCAGAGATGGAAGATTTTCTTCGTGAGGCTGCCTGCATGAAAGAGTTTGACCACCCCAATGTCATGAGGCTTCTAGGTGAGTCAGGAATCATACAGCTTTGGCACGTCAAGGGTCAGCCAATTCAAATAACGAAAAGACATGTTTTCTCACTTTCTTTGCCCAAGTGTTAAGAAACAGTGGAGGTGAATACGTTTTAGTCTTTCTACACATATAAACACTGTTCAAGTTCATCAGGATAATCCACAAACCTCACTATAAACAGTTTTCGTTGGAACTACTTTCTACCAAATAAATAGTCCCCATTTACTGTCGATTATCGAGAGTAACAGTGACACAGTGTCTATGCAAAGACTAGACTTGACTAAATACCACTAAAGCTAAGTGAAAACATGTTTATTTTTTGTTATTTTGGTGAACTGACCTTTTAAAATACGGCCTTAGTTCATTCATTAGTTCATAGTCTTGAGATTATGAGTAAAACCGTTTTAATTTCTACATGTACAGAGCATGTACGTAGTCTATGTGTATAATACTGAGCTGTGGTGTTTTTACAGGTGTGTGTCTGCAGACTGTGGAGAGTGAAGGTTACCCCTCCCCTGTGGTCATCCTGCCCTATATGAAACATGGAGACCTGCACAGCTATCTGCTATACTCGAGGCTGGGAGACTGTCCTGTGGTTAGTCTGATTACAAACAATAAAAGCACAGAGTCAGCAACACTCGCATGTGCATACACAAGCAGTCACACACTTATGCACGCATACAGTCCGACACAATTTAACAGCTTAATGGGTTTGAGGTTTAGAAGTTCACGTCAGCGAAATGGTATCCAAAGGTCAACAAAGACGTACAGTATTTGTTACAGTCCCAATCCACACCTTTCTGGCAGCACATGCGCTCTGAGATCATGAAAACACACAGTATGTGTCTGTAGTTGCTATCTGCAGTTATACTCATTAATGGATGGGATGGTTTTTTTGGAACCGAGAACTGCTATACGCAATAAGTCCCCGGAGAGCCGGGTTGAGAAACTCTAATCAAAACAAGATTCCTACAGAATGTTGAAACATCCATTGGTTCGGCAAACATTCAAAAACAGAGCGGTGTTGAACACTATTCTTCCCACAGGAGGAGGCTGTTAGTATCTGGAGGGGGGGGGGCACTCAGTTCAGGCTGATCACAGGTCCTCAGAGAGAGGGACTCTAGTGCCCTCTACTGTGCAGAAAATAAATTTCAGCTGTGGTGGATGTGTGACTAAAACCTTCTTGTTCTGCAGTACCTCCCGTCTCAAATGCTGGTGAAGTTTATGACTGATATCGCCCGAGGGATGGAGTACCTCAGCAGCAAAAATTTCATCCACAGAGACCTTGCTGCTCGCAACTGCATGTAAGCACAATCTCTGCTTCCACTTTTTACTCTCTTGGTTCCCGTATGTGCTATCACTTGTTCTTTCTCTTTCTGTTGAGGAAGATCTTAAAAAGAACTAAAAGTAGACCAAGAGACTGCGCTTAAAGCAACATTTGGAAGCGCAGAAGCCTAAAAAAGGTTAATATGATGCAGGAAATATATGGTACTCTTCCTTGGGCACTTAATTTAATATATATCATATCACATATCATATTTTATAAGATGATCTTATACTATACAAATAACTAGTAAATACCTAACTACCTAAAAACTTTACTGCACTCGGATGAATGTACTTTTTTTTTCTTTCTACCAATGTCTGAAGGCCCCTTTTCCAAACAATACAGCGCTGTAACACTTTGGTTTGTCTGCCTCAGGCTGAATGAGAACATGAATGTATGTGTGGCGGACTTTGGCCTCTCCAAGAAGATCTACAATGGAGACTACTACAGGCAGGGGCGGATCTCAAAGATGCCCGTCAAATGGATCGCTATCGAAAGCTTGGCTGATCGTGTCTACACCACCAAGAGTGACGTGGTTAGTTCACCTAGTGTGTGTTTGTGTCTGTCTGTGTGTGCTTGTATTAATGC